ACAAAATTCTGCCTCATTTTCTGTGAATCAAAATACTGTCTGGGCGTAAGTGTATATATGCCTTTGTGCCTGTGTCTGTGTGTGTGTGTGTGTGTGTGTTCCTTTCCCCAGCTGGTTATTAGTCCTCCCTTTTTGTTCACAAAGGACTTACCAATTGGTCCTTCTTTAACTTTTGCTCTTTTAACAGCTTCTCTCAAAGACTTAACTTTTAAGTGTTCTCATAAACCTCTCCAATCACTATCTAAAAATTTACAGACAGGAATAGGAAGCTGTTTTCTTCCATAGACTGACTGTAATTATCTATTATGCTAAATAGCAAAATACTGTTACAAAGACCCAGAAAATAATATTTGATTTTTTTTTTTCAAGATCTAGTCCATGTATGTAAATTTACACAATGAGTTTGCAGATATTTTTAGGATCATTTGTGTATTGAGTTGCTGCTCAGAATCAAGAGGATTGAGCAGCTCAGATACAAATTTATTTGTGGATACACATTCATATCTATACTTCTTGAAAATGGGGTCTTCTACTGTTCAGATGTTACAAATGAGATGGAAAGTAATCTGGTTTACAATATGAACTGTCAGATATAGTGTGAATTAGATTTTCTTTTTTCCCCCTAATCATTTACACTGTTGCCAAACATAAATATAAAAAGTGATTATATAATGATGCTTCTTAAAAACTATTCTAAGAATGGTACTAAACCATTTCAGTTTATCAGGGATCAGTGTGGCATAAAACCAGTTCTTATAGATACTTCTAATATATGTTGATTCATCAAATCTATTTTCCTAGTGGTGTATCTCATAACAAAGAACATATGAAGTGGAGATATGAAAAGAACTTTTCCTTAATAGTCCAACTTTGTATCTAATAGTTATATTACTAACTGCATGCTGATTTTCTATAGCACAGATCTCTGTGGTTTGATTCAGTAAAGTACAGATATGCCCTATAAAATACCTACCAGACCAATACTTGTAAACAAATATACTGGACAAATGTTGAAATACCAAACATTAATGGAAGATATTTCTAGGGAGAGGTCTTTAGCAGTTCTTAATTACAAATTGGGAAAATGTGGAAAGTGATCACAAATTGGGAAAATGTGGAAAGTGATCACAGTGAGTTGTGCATGAATTTATAGAAAAGTACAGAAAGGGTAGGAAAGGCCTTGAGACAAAATCAGTGTAATTCTCCTGATGCCTTTTTTAAGGGAGCTGGAACAAATTCTGTGTGCTTTTTGAACAGCTGTGTGTATTGCACTATATTGTTTTCTAATTAATTAGAACATTTTGTCTATTGTCACTGAAATGTGCTGCAATTCATGACACAGCAATTCATTAGTCAGTCAATTCCTTTCAAAAAAGGAGTAAAAATAAAGAATAATGTTGTCAAAAACTTGAGTTGTTTCTGAGACCTCGTGTGTATTAGGAGTTCAGTTATTTTTGAGTTAAATATTTCTGTATCTGTTCATCTATTTATCTCT